CTTTCACCATCAAAGTCCGTTAAAGCGCTGGTAACAGCGTCTGCTCCAAGGACAAGGCGTAGAAGGCACAACCTAGCGCGAAGGAGAGATACCGCAGAACAGTTTTGTTTTGGTGGAATCTGCTGCCTTATCTGTGTGTGATGCAAAGAAGGGGCAGTTTTCACACGGCTTGGAGGCTGCGTGGTGGCATGTTTTTTTTTGTCCTTTATGAAATCCGCCGCGTTATTTTGATTAGAGCGCGAACGTAACTCCTGGCAGCGCCCAGTCTTGCCGCGAGCAGTGATTTCCCGCCGAAGCTTGACGCGGTGCTAACAAGCAGGGAGATCTCGTGCGTCCTGTCTGCACGGAGCTTGGAGGACGGCGTGTTCCGCGGGAGGTGCCGAGGTAGTGCTGCAGTCGTATATAAGGTGAAGAAGTGTTGTATGTGCAGGCAGGCCGCTGTGGGGGTGTTCATTTGTGTTTTAATGGAGTTCAGAAACTCCAGCTGCAATAATGGCATGATGCTGTTAAGTTCTTTTATGTGTTTATATATATATCTTTTGTATATGTGAGTGTATATATATTTGTTTTCTGTCTCTTTGAGGAAGAGCCCTTGTCCTCATCACCTGTGCTTCAGCTGTGCTGTACTCAAACGTGATCTTCTTACGTACCTCTTGCTTGTTCAGTTTCTAGGTGGCAGAGACACGGTGAAGCTCTGTGTGGGGCAAGGAAAGCTGATGGGGGAGCCCTGTGCGTAACCCAGGATGGACTGGCTGTGACGGCGTGCCTTAGCTGGAGAGGTAGTTACGATGAAGAGTTCCTGCAGAGCTGGCCTCCACAGGGAACCGCTGAATTCCACATCCTCCACCTTCCACCAAGTCAAACGGTATGAACGGAGCAGCTGGTCTGCCTATGGTTAAGCATTTAGCACCGATTCAACCTTCTCCTTCCTTTGCTGTCATCTTGCGTGTCACTCACATGTTTGGTCTTAAGTGCTTACTTTTGGATAGTGTTTAAGTGAAATGTTGTCATGGCTTAAGGGCAGAGATGTTCTTTGACATTTTTATTTGATAGTGACAACTGCAGATTCGCTGCAGCTGCTACTGTACTTGGAGAAATCGTTTGGGTTTTTAGCAACAGCTGTAAATTAATTTGGGAACGGGGCTTTGAAGTAAAACTTGGAGAACGGCTTGTCGTAGTAGGCTTTAAAACATGCAGTCAGCTTAAAGCAAGTGGAAATGCTGGCAATCGTTGCTGCGGTTTGTCTTAGTAATTAGATTAGTTTAAGCTCAGATTTTGTATTGCTCACTCTCCTGTGTCTCTTATTAAGAAGAAATGCACGACTGATTTCAAACACTTGTGCTTATGTGACAATTAAGTGAACGCCTCTCACTGTGTCTTGTTATAGGAACGCCGTGCAGAACAACTTGTCCTTATGCAAATGCACGAACATGCCAGTTTGTTTGAGTTCCAGCTACTTGAAAATATATGGTGGTTGGTTGGGTTTTTTTTTTCTTTCTCTGAAACCAAGACTCTTAAACTTCCTCAATCTGGAGGAAAAGAGCCAGCTTTCTGGTTTCCCAAAGCTGTGTGGGTTTAAAGCAAACTTTTAACCTTTTGCTTTTTGTGGTTGTGTACAGAGCATATACTTGCTGTGTTAGTCTCCTGGTAATTTAGTGCTGGAAAGACATCCTGGGTCACCCAGCTCCATGCTTTCCCAAGCAGTATCTCATAATCCCTTTTGTAAATTTAGAATTCTTGCCTAAGAATAATTACATCTTTTTCTTCTTTCCTCCTGCAGATTAAGCCATTACTGAGGATGACAGATCTAGCTGTGCAATTAGGAACCTTCTCTTGATTCCCAGGCTGAACATTCATGCCAGCTTATATACTCAGTTGAGCTTGTGTTCCTTTCTTTTTTGGCGTAAAGACCACTTCTTATTTTCAGCCGTTTCCCTCTTTTGCTGTCTTTGGTAAAATACAGGAGTGTGCCCTCACCTGTAGTTCTGCTCTGCTACATGACCTTCTTGAATAACAACTGTCAATGATCTCAGTGTGGGTGAATCTCCTCCGAGTCATGTCAAAAAGCGTGTGCTGCCCTCCGGAGCAGGTCTGGCAGGAGGGCTTTTCACTGCTGCCTTCGGTGTATCGCAGAATCACCTCCACTTAACCTCTGTTTCATCGTTGTGTCTGTGGTGGCCAATGCAGCTTTCTCAGTTACCTCCAAAACTTCCTGGTATTCATCCAGAACTTCTTGGTATTCAGCTTGCTGGTGTGTCACCATCTGTATTTCAAAACTCTCCTCAGTTTCTGTTACTCGGTGCTTTGTGCCTCTGCTGTTTGGGAAATGCCTTCATTTCTGCGGGTGCACTCGGTAGTGTTCGTGCTGAGGTCATTCCTGACAAAATCAAATGATTCCAAGGCTGATTCTTGAGGCATGTCTTTGGTTTCCAGGCTGGTATTTTTGTATCCAGCATCACCTGGGGCTGTCTGCAGCTATGCCAGCACCTTTGTCTGTTTTCTCATTCCCCTGCCAGTCTGTCTGAACCGGTCAATCTCACTGTGCCTTCTGAAGTCCTTGTGAATAAGACGTGTCGTACACTTGTCCAAAGAGGTCACTGTCCTCGGCACCTTCAAGTTAGTCTGGCACTTTGAACTATTCCCTCTTCCCCCTTTTTCTCTGTGTCGCCTTAATCCTCTTTGCTTGCCAAGCACCTTTATGTTGAAGTCAGACTACCAGGTCTGGAGAGGCTGTGATTTCTCTCCTTTCTCTTTCTCCCCCGCAGTGCCACCTCCAACGTGCCACATGTTTTATTAACTCGTATTGTTGCTTCTCAAGAGGTCTGTAAATCTTGCTGCTTGGCCTGCAGTTTGGGTCTGTTTTGGATTCTGAAACTGAGACGAGCCACTCCTCGCGGTTTTCCTGAAGCTTTTTAATCCTCCCCCTGCCAAAGTTCTTGTTCAGCTGAACCCCTGGGCTTTTGCCCTTGTGATCACCCTTATCACCCTTCTTTAAAAATGATGCAAAGTCAAATTTAGTATTTTGTGCTGCACCTAGAGTACTCCTAATCTCTGCCCTGACCTTGCTTGCAGCCCTGTTTCTCTCCCTGTCCTTTCTCACAAGCTGAAGAACCTTTTACTGTTTCTTTGTTTTTAAATATCTTTGCAGTGACTTAACGCTGCACCAGTTCTCACGTTTATTCCTAGACTTTTTGATCTCTAAGGTACAAGTTTCCAAGTAAATGTGACCTGGTGACTTGAAACCTGTGTCTGCTTCTTGTATCCTTCCCGAAGAAAGAACGTGTTCGGTTGGAGTTTCTTCTGTTCTTGTTCGGGATGTGTTCTTAGTCATGAAAACACCTTTTGACTCCTGGAGGCTGCCTGCTGGCTTGCGCTGTCTGCAGTGAAATCCTCCGCACCGCAGTGCAGCTGGCTTCAGGAACCAGTTCCTTTCGGTCTTGGGAGTTTGAAGAGAACAACCTGATGACTTGCCTTCAGATCTACTTTTGCTTATTCTTTCTTTTGAACTCGGAGTCTCTTAACAATAGTGCGATCCAAGGTTAATTTCTACAACCTTTCATGTGTTCTCATTGTGTATGCACAAAACCGGAGACTAAAGAGCGTC